GGGTGGGAGGGGTGGAAAGTGACCGTTTCTACAGGTGATAGTCTTGCACAGGTGGCCGTCCGAGCAGGCTCGACTGTACATACAAAGTAGGAAAAAACTTCATGCCCCGGGCAGTAACGTGATGATGGGTTGAGAGCAAGCATTATTAGGTTATGGGAGACATCTTTTGCAAGAGTCTCCAAGCTGCTAGGGAAAGGTGTGTACGTGTACCTCGCGGAAATCCGTCGCGTCTCGCCTTGCCGACAAGTTCATTCGGGTCGCCGTCATCCTCCGTGTCATGAAACCTGCCAGATTGGCTCTCTTCCTCCTGGTCCAGGGCGTCCTGGTACTCCTCCGCTCCGTCACTCTCACTTTGACTCTCCTCACGCACCGGCCCACCGTGGCCACAGTCATCTCCGACTGAACGACCTTCACCTTCTTCTTCGGGAATTTCTGACGGAGCAAGCGGTACTGAGTTTACGACTTCATCCTGCAGCATGCTGCTCTCATTCCCGCCTGGTGTCAGGTTCGCTTCTGTCAGGTTCGTGTCAGCCGGTGGGGGTTCATTCGCCGACAGGGTCTCTCCAACAAAGCCAGCCCTCGTCGGTGAGGACAGCAGCTCATCAAACTCCCTGACATCGACCTCCGTGTCCTCCACGGCGCCAGCTGCCACATCCTTATCCTCAGCGGCGTCACAACTCTGTATCTCAGTCGACTTGAAAGGGGATCCCCCTAAGTTCAGAACAATCTCTGAGGACACCGCCGCTATTGCAACATCGACAGCTTGCTTAGAATCAGGTCCAGACACCTGTTCAACCAAACTCTCGTCGGTATCTCCTGATGTCTTGACGTAAGCGTGGGGACCTGTACGTTCTTCCTTCAAGATTTTTGCGTCTGAACTTGCAGCAGCCCTTTCAGAAGAAAGAATTTCCCGTTCTGGTGCCCACACATTACAGACATCTTCCCTGTTCTCTGGCTCCTCACTTCCACCAGCTGCCCGTTTTTGAGTTGCCTCCAAGCCTGGATCGAGCTCAGGACTACTGCCACTTTCCCTCCTGTTTTCCTTCTCAGGAGAACCGCTCGACAGAGAATAATCTTCTCTTGCTGAAAAATTTACCCCCGTTTCTTGACATCCATCGTCACCTCCAGATTCATCCTTGCTGGTGTTCTCACAAACATCTCCGTCCTTATTTTCCTTGTCATTTTTTCTGTTATCTACAGTCTGTAAACCGTCATCAGTCCCAGGCACTTCATTCTGGCCTCCTGGGGACACACCACGACCCACCTCCTCACGGTCCAGACCTTCCTCTGTTACAAAAATGTGCATGGGAAAAGAAGAAAATCTGTTAAAGACACACACGTCATGCAAACACTAGCGGACGGGTGGTGAAACAGAACACAAACATACCATCAAAAAGCTGGTCAGTGACACTTGGCTGAGACACACACAGAAAATCTTGTACAGTGAGAAGCAAGTGTGACACAAACGATACGCCATTGAAATATGTACGATTTCCAGCAAAATAAGTAGTGACCATTAAGGGAGAAAAAAAATGTACGATGGCATCTCATGTACATATAGGGCAGACCATTAATTTTCGTAAAACAAAAAAAAACCCATTAGCTGGTTCCCGCCTCTGTCGGCTGGTAAAACGGGCTGAATTATTTCAAACCTCAACAACTATTCAAGAGCAAGTCCATACGTCAAGCTTTAACTTCACTGTTCTGACTAACCAAAAATAAACCCTCCATGAAAACTCCTACAACATACCAAAATTGTCCATAGTAGAGCACAAGCAGACAGTGCGTCCCCCTAACTATATATGTCTTTATGTACAAGCAGACAGTGCGTCCCCCTAACTATGTACGTCTTTATGTACAATCAGTCTATCTTCGTGTCCATAGTAGAGCACAAGCAGACAGTGCGTCCCCCTAACTATGTATGTCTTTATGTACAATCAGTCTATCTTCGTGTCCATAGTAGAGCACAAGCAGACAGTGCGTCCCCCTAACTATGTATGTCTTTATGTACAATCAGTCTATCTTCAGGCAGTGTTCATCGTGGAAGTATTGGAAGTCAAGCTATTGAGGTGGTAAATTTACCAGACGCCACTAAAAAGGGTAAAGCATCCTGAGACAGAAAAGGTAGACGACAGATCACCAGAATGTATAAGTGGACTAAAACCAGGTGTAACAAATATAGCTACTATAAATAGACAGCACTCGTGTAACACATATCGCTACTAAAAATAGACGGCACTTGTGTAACACATATCGCTACTAAAAATAGACAGCATATCGTTATTAAAAATAGACAGCACTCATGTAACACATATCATTACTAAAAATAGACAGCACATCGTTACTAAAAATAGACGGCACTTGTGTAACACATATCGCTACTAAAAATAGACAGCATATCGTTACTAAAAATAGACAGCACTTGTGTAAAACATAACGCTACCAAAAAGCAGACTTCAAGAAGACAACGTGTCCACTGTTCAGTGGAAGACTCCATCAAAGATCGCTTTTCCAAATGGCGCATGGCCGAGTGGTACAGTAAGCAGTCACCATCACCCTACTGTTATAACTGACCCCCCAAAAATATTGCTTTTTTCACAGTTCATGTCCATTTACTCTAGCTTGTTCACTTTCACCTCACTGCTGTCAAATCAAGATAAAACGACATCCCTCTGTTTAATCTTCTCAGATTTTTGCATACGCGTCTAAATCTTGGATAACCAGCAGAATCAAAAAGCCCAATCATAGAGGTCACTGCAAACTGAGGTTCCGACACCTTTCTTTGATGTTAGCCTAAAGTGGGTAGAAAAAAATAATAGGGAATTTACAGCATACACATTAAACATTAAAAAGTTGACACATTTTCCTCAACGTTACACTTTAACCCACACAGCGCAGTCCACCAGATAGGAAGAGCACTTTCCTTGACTCACGTGGAGATGCCTTGACTGTTGTGAGATGAAATCTTTTTTTTTTTTAATTTTAGAGGGTTTTACGGCGCTCGCAACTGCATAAGGTCATATGAGCTTCAAGGGGTGGGTGTCAACAGAGAAGTCTTTACAGGAAATCAAACTTATTTTGCTCACCTCTCTAGTTTCAACAGCACAAAGTCTGCTTCGACTATCAAGGCACCCCGGAAATAGCGGGTCACAAGAGAGTGACAAATATACAAAAGAAGCAGAGGCAAAATGACAATAGTAAGGATTAAGAAAGAAAAAGCAGCAGTTCCATGTTATAGATCAGGCACAGTTATGGGCGTGACATGAATCAGCCCATTTACAATTCTACTGCGCTTGAACGAGAAATGTCCCCCCTTTGGGAATGGCCTAAAGACACTACAGTCAGTGGCACTGCCCCGCGGGGTAAGATGAAATCTAAAAGTTTACACTGAAATGTGGGGCAGGGTGGTGTCACTGTCTCAAAATGAACGATTTTGTAGGCTAGGTTCCTGTATGTCATTTATTTTATTGATCTTGCGTATGCATCCGAAAAGTGGTTTTTAATATAGGGCCCAAATAGAGAAAAAATTTTATTACTGGATCAAGATCTTTTTTAAAAATAATTTTGTTTGGTCGCTGGCATGCAGGAGTGTCATGCAAAGTTTCGAGGGCCTGGGTAAATTAATAAATGAGCAAGAATTTTTTCAATACAGACAAATGAAAGTGAACAAGCTATGCTATAGAGAGAATGCTCTGTCTGCTTCACAATTGATTACTTCCTATCCAGTGACAAAATATGTCCTTCATCTCAGCAATCATGTTTCGCCCGTCCTTACTCGTTCCACACAAAAATTTGTTTGCAAACACACTTTCCCAAATATCATTTATACCCAAAAAATAAGATATATTATTTGCAATGTGGTTTGTTCGGAGACTTTTGAGAACCTCATGGAAGCAAAAGAAATAATACGAGGAAGCACTGAAAGAAGCGCACGTGGGCCGCTCATTATTTAGAACAATCAGGTAACGACAAATGCAGTTTCTAGGACATTTGAATCGACATAAAGGCTTTGAACATCTTTCTTTCACTGGAAAAATAGAAGGCAAACGAGGCAGGGGTAGTAGACCCGGAGAGACTTATTTGGAAGAACCTGAGGAGATGGGTGACGAAGAAACACCAGGATAAAAAGGGATGTTTTTCCGAGAATCCAAGCAGAGAAATGAATGGAGAACCGTGATCGCCAATGTCTGTTTCAGATCTCTGGCACTTTAAGATGAGGACGATATATATATACATCTGAAATAACGTAAGCTAATTTTGACGTGCTTAAAGAACGAGTGAGAAAAACAACACAAAAATCCTGTGCAGACTACTCACGGACAACACAACATCTGAGGTGGCAAACAACACAATGAAGGCTTGATACACCATGCACAGCTGGCAGGGACCACACAGGCAGGCTGCTCCATCCTAAATACTTTTCAGCAGTTTTCTACATTTTCAACAAGGAGAGAAGACAACAGCACTCATCCCCCCAACCCCCAATCCTTGCCCCCAATCCCAATATCTATTTTTTTAAAAGACTACTGCACAATAATTTGACCTCAATAAAGCAGACAAGAAAGGCATAAAAAAGCATCTTAACACAGATCAATGTGTTGAAGTATCAGGTTTGAAAAGTAGAAGCTGCTGTTTTACATGCACTGTTAAAGGAAGAAAACCAAGCAGCACTTGGACTCAAACACAATTCTCTCAAAGCACACCAAAGACAAACACAGTTCTTTTACTACTGACAGAAATCTCTTCTCAATCTGAACTGTTCCCAACATGTTGGAAACTTCCCCATGAAAACTGAATGTTTTATCTCCATACTAAAATGGAGAATCTCTAAAGACATCCTGCCTTTCTTTTTTGTTTTTTTTTCAAAATCCTCCAAGCAAACTCCTTTTACCTGTCAAATGATATTTAGAAATCTGAAAAACTCTACTTTAAAAAGAAAACAAACTTATAAACACTTTAAATGAAAAGCAGGCAGAGAACAAGAGCCGAACAGAAAAAGTCAGAACAGTACACGAGAGAAGTTGGGAAAATCTTAGCTCAAAAACCCGACTTCTGAAGGGTAAGTCCAACAACCTTCAGAGGATGTTCTAAGCATTCCTTGCGAGAGAAACACGCCACTAACCTTTCTCTTGAGGTATTTTGTTTTGTGAAGGGTTCAACTCTTCCTGCTGACGCTCTATTTCTTCTCTCACCCTCCTCATTTCTTCCTGTCTTCGCTGAAGCTGAACAGCAGCATCTCTGCAGCATTGGTTAACGGAATAGACAAGGAGAAAATGATTCAAATTCAAAATAAGGCAAGAACGAGTAATGAGAAACACCAAGGAACATGTGGCTTCCTGATTTTTCCATGAACACTTTAAATGAGTGTCCTTTCGTGTATCGCGACCTCAGTACTTTCTTGTCGTATCTCCATTTTTTTAAAACAGTGAAAATGTGACATCTTCTAAAGCTCACTCTCTGTTGTGAACTGTTTCCACTGTTGTTTAAACTGGAGATACGAGAAGAAAGCACTGGGGTCGCGGTATATAGAGTTAAAATCAGGCTCACCAACTGTTTCACAACGCAATCAGGGACACCCAACGTTATATATATAGCACCAGATTACTGAACAACAAACCACATGACAACAGCACAACTTTACATCGTGTGGAGTAGCATTGCCTCCTGGGTCATCAGACTCTAAAATTCCCCATTGCCTAATCCAAGATAGCCCCAGGAAACTCACGACAGTTGTCGGCAAGCTAGTATAATATATCTTGTTTTGGTCACTATCAAATAAAAATAGTTTGACCGTCAGTGTCTGAGGATGACCAATAAATGTATCTGCAGAGGAGGATATTACTTAATAAAGAGAAAAAGAAGAAATTTACCGACTGTGCTGTCCAATACACTTGTATCAACACTATTCTTAGAATAATGACGCAATACGACATACACAACGAGATTAAAACATAAACAACTGTATCAGCAAAAATATATTATAAAAATAATAATAAAAAGCATTTGTATAGCGCATATCCTTGCTCAACTGCAAGCTTTATTGCGCTTGATAATCTGTACCATTACCCCACCAGACCCAAGGACACTCACAAGCACTCTCAGCTTCCGCGGAGCAGACAAGAAAAGAACTGCTCAAACTTAAAGGGAAGAGATGTTCCGACTTTTGGATTTATCTGGAAAATCTGCAACTCTGAGGTGTGCTCCCATGACATGAGGCCCCAACAAGAAGAAAAAATACAAAGACTTAACACTTTGAGCCCTGTGCTCCTGAGGCTAACGTGTCCCTCTGTCTGTCCTGAGGCTAACGTGTCCCTCTGTCTGTCCTGAGGCTAACGTGCCCCTCTGTCTGTCCTGAGGCTAAAGTGCCCCTCTGTCTGTCCTGAGGCTAACGTGTCCCTCTGTCTGTCCTGAGGCTAACGTGTCCCTCTGTCTGTCCTGAGGCTAACGTGTCCCTCTGTCTGTCCTGAGGCTAACATGCCCCTCTGTCTGTCCTGAGGCTAACTTGTCCCTCTGTCTGTCCTGAGGCTAACGTGTCCCTCTGTCTGAGCTCCTGAGGCTAACGTGTCCCTCTGTCTGTCCTGAGGCTAACGTGTCCCTCTGTCTGTCCTGAGGCTAACGTGTCCCTCTGTCTGTCCTGAGGCTAACGTGTCCCTCTGCCTGTCCTGAGGCTAACGTGTCCCTCTGTCTGTCCTGAGGCTAACGTGTCCCTCTGTCTGTCCTGAGGCTAACGTGTCCCTCTGTCTGTCCTGAGGCTAACGTGTCCCTCTGCCTGAGCTCCTGAGCGATATATGATTATTACAAACATCCACGAGATCATCAAAATTACTTTCCCCATATCCCACTCAGGGTAGTCCTCGTCATAACCAGCACCTAACTGAGAAAGATCTTCAAAATAATCCTTGGCAAAAAAAAAAAAACTGTTTTCCGCGGGCACTTTGTCCCAGGCTGGCCAGGTAGGAGGTAGGTCTGGATCACCGGTGTACCGGTGGCTAGGCACACGGGTAATTTCGCGTGCCACCGGTAGGGCTCAAAGGGTTAAAGAACTGCAGAACTTTGCTTTGTCCAGTATTTATTCTGCTTCCAAAGTCACCTCAAAGACCTACTCAAAACTTATTAAAAAAAGAATTCGTTTTAGAGTTGCCTTTAAAAGAAATATTATCTCATTCAGCTCTAAAAAGGAAATTCAAAACTACAAAAACCATTCCCCCAATAATAGAGACTACTATTTTTTTTAAACAAAAAGTACAGTAGTCTCCGCCTAAACGCACAGTGCTCGGGAGGGCTCATTTACATGCACCATGAGTTTACGAGGAGCGGAGCAAACCGGGGAAGGGACACAACCATCTTGGAGGGCTCCGGTGGCCGAGTGGTTGGTGGGTTCAGACTCAAACAGGTTTGAGAGACTTCCCTCTGATGTTTCGTTGAACAAGTACTGCACTTTCTTAGTTCTTCAAACGCAGCTGATATTAAGACTATAGTGCTGTCAAAATTTCGTGGTGTGACTTATTGTCAAATATCTCAACTAATGAACACAAACTCTCCAACATACTGATCTCAACAAATCTCAACATGTAATATATAGCAAACAGATTTTCAGCTCCTGAATTTTCTCTCTATATATATGTTTTCTTTGTAATTAAAACACGCATGAGGCGAACTTTGTACATTACGAAAAGATTTCAGCATCTCACTGATTTCACTACGTGCATCTCTCTCTCTCTCTCTCTCTCTCTCTCTTCTGGCGCTGTGGCTTCATAAACGGTCAGCAATGCTGACAGCACGCAAGAACTCAACACTTGCCCGGGGGTGCATGCTAGACTGTAGGTCTTTAACTGCAGCCACTAACCTACTAGAAACCTTCCCTCAAAGATGCACTTCGAGAGGCCCATCAAAAGACATTTCAGTCACTCAAAAACATATGGCTCGCCCAGTCCTATAGTTTCATGTGTGAGGACAATATAAGGAGTGAAAATGATATCCATCCCTTTCAATACGTTCATTGTTCTGCGCAAAGAGCAAGATTCGCCGAACATCCAGTTGTTTAAGACTTGTCTTTGTATATTTATAAATGATGCAAGCTGTCTAGTTTGTGAAAATTTCTGTTTGTCAATCTCTCTGTCAGCATGTATCACAGATCTAAGTGTGAATTTAGAGGAGACCATGCGCATGTACCTTTAAATTATATGTTTTTTTTTAAAAAAAGGTCAGATGACGAAAGCGCCCGTTTGAACGGAGCATGCCTTTATCTGTTGGCAGGTGTTTAAGCGAAGACCACTGATAACCAAGCAGGAAAAGACTATCCCCAATAATAATGAACAGATACATCTTTTATTAAGTCTGAGTAGTCACTTAAGTTGCATGACAAAAATTTTGTTTTAAAAAGGAATGAAAATGATGAGAAAAAAAAAAAACAATTGTAAGGCAACGTGGTGAAATCAGGCGCTCGTCAAAATAATGAAAGTAAAGTTAAAGAAAGGGCACTTTTCCGCTGGTTTGGCTGTTTCTATTGAAATTTTTTTTTGGGGGGGGGGCCTTAACACCTTCTATGTCTATTTAAGAACCCATTTCAGTGTGAATTATATTGAAAAATGTTGATTAAAGGCACAAAAAATGTAAATTGTCACTTTCCATTGACTCTGAGGCTTTGCAAATAACCAAACTTCGGCGGCCATTTTCTCACCAATTTTAACTCTGAAACCAGGCGACCCCCATATCATTCAATCGCAAATTCGACATGTACTCGAAGATAAACTGGTAATTTTTTCATCTACAGCAAGGCAAAGGAACAAGCTTTAAGGCAATACCAACAACTCCACAAGCCCAAAAATTGACGAGCGAGCGCCTGATTCCACCGCGTCGTGACACAATTATAAAAAAAAAAATACTGCAGAACAGAAAGGGCAGCTTAGTTCACAGACCTTTTGACCCAGACCGGCTGAGATTCATCCGTCTCCTGCTGGGAGCTGTAGGGAGACTCCAGCGACATGCTCTTGCTTCTCTGAATGGCAGACTTGATGTCAGCTATAGCCATGTCCAGGGCTTCACGTTTCATCTTCAAATCATCCATTATGGCTTGGGCGTCCATCTCTTTGGGATGAACATCCTCCTACATTGTCAAAAACAGCAGTCAGAGATTGAAAAAGGAAGCAGCGGTACAGAAAAACATTTCTAAAAACTGCTATGGTTCAGTAAGCGTTTTACGACACTTGCAACACAATTAGGTCAGGTAAGTGCTGAAGAATGTAAAGGTATTTCAGAGAGTAACAAACCCCCAAAAAGGAGGAGCAGAGATAAGGACATCAGTAGATGTTTGATAGAAAAGAAGGAGCAAACCACACCAGTGCACCTGCCAACCACCCACTGCAGTAAGATTAAAAAACGAAGCTCCGGCACCGAAAAATGTTTTTTGTAACTGCTATTACTACGCACCATTCGAAACAGCAGTGTGGGTAAAGACATTCACATCCCCACCACCATTCCAAACAGCAGTGTGGGTAAAGACATTCACATCCCCACCACCATTTAGTGCAGGGGAAAAGCAAGATAGACAAATAGAAATTACAGAGAGAAACAAAAGATCTGCAGGTCCTACAAATGGCACTCTCCAACCACCAGCTCAACACAACAGTACGAGACTAAAACTAAAGATTTTTACAAAACAGAAAAATCACAAGCAACTAATCATTACCCTGGAATTACATAATTCTATCTCTTTAGTACCTAGTTTGGAGAAATATGAATTTAAAAAGTGTCCTCAAAATTCGGTGGCGCCCTCTTCGCAAAAGCGCACCTTTAGCGAACAGAGTTATCCTACTTGAGTTTAAAAAATCAAAATGAAACTAGCAAGTTTTTTAATTAATTTCGGAAGAACGCTTTTTTAAAACGGTTACGCTGACAAAAAACCTCTTCCAGAGGAAAGGGTGATTGTTTTCTTCGTTTAATTTGACTTTAGAATGAAAGGCGAGAGGTCATTAAAATTTTTAAAAACTAAAACTCCGTACTGAACGAACCCGAACTGCTGATGAACAGCAGTCGATCTGCGCACACAAAGAGGTGCTATTCCTATTCTTCTTCTGGGAAAACGAAAGAGAGCTTCAAAACAGACTGCAGCTCCATCTGAAGCAAAGAGCATACTTCCTGCGGACACTTTTTTGGCTGAGTGGCCCATCTTGTTATTTACTATCTTTGATTACGATTTTCATAGAGCATTTGGTTTCCGACCTCATGGTCTTCGCGACTCAAAACCAAAGAATGATAGATGTTTCATATGAAACAAGGGGCAAACCTTACCAGAGCACCCGCCAACCGCCCCACCAAAGAAATCACAAACCATAGGACTACTGCAGCCAATACCATAAAAAACTCTGATCCTGCTTTAAATTCTCCACACAGGATCAAAGATGTTCTAGAATAATTATGTTTTTTGTTTTTATTGTTTGTGTTTTTACGCCCCCAACCACACAATTCAAAATATTTTAGGAGGCAAGCTTCGACTGTGCCTGTCAGGGCCAGCCCGGGTGAGAAGAATACAACATCCCTGCAAAAAGACAGAGATGCTTTAACGACATTTCTGTCCATTTCACCAAACAAAGTCAAACCGAACCTCCTATTGACATCAAGACCTCATTATAATCAAAAACCTCTAAATGACATCCGAGTCCAATAAAACACCTCATCATTCAATGAGGTTAAAATTTAAAAACCATGTTAAAGACATTAAAAGCGCGAGAGACTGTATATATATATATATACCTCATCATCGTCCTTGAGCAAATCCTGATCCAGAGCTGCCTTCTGCTTCAGCTGGAGCATTTTGGAGGGTGAGCGGTTGTTCCCCGAGGCGCCCTCGTCAGCGTCGCTGGCCTGACTGCTGGACAGGCCGTCTTCCACCGTGGGGAAGCCAGGCGTGGAGTTCTCGCCCTCCGAGGTGACACTCTCAACCTCCACACTGTCACACTCTGTGTTCTCCGGGGACAGCGTAAAGGCCTTTTTGTCCTCTGAATACTCGCTGTTATTTAAAGGGATTTCCGTCAAGGTTTCTTCACTCACTTTTTCTTGCTCGCCCAATTCCGAGAGCATTTTTTTCTGGAGGATTTTTTCAGGCGAAGGCTCTCTTGAGCTGTCCACGGAGCCACCCCCCTGTTTTAAATTGAGAGAGTCGTTGGAGCTGGAATAGGCCAGTCTCATCCCAACATAGGAATTTCCTTGCTGAACACGAGCGTACTTCACATAGTCGTACTCGTTCTCAATATTGAGATTTTTGGGAACGGGCGTTATGACTTCAATCGCGTTCTCTTTCGTCTTTTCTGATGAGTTCCGGGGTCTCACTTGATTAACGGACTGAGCCTGGCCTAAAGACGACTCGGTTCCTTTCTCATCATCTCCTGCAGACTGTGGGTCGTGGTCCACACGCCTGGCCACCCCGGGAGACTGCTTCAAACCAACCATCAAGGGTTTAGTGCTTTGTGATTTTGCAAATTCTAAACTAAGGTCTTTCTCGTAGTCCTTGACCTCACCGACGACTGGGATGTTGTTCCGTATTTCTAAACTGCTCCTCTTCTTCGCCACTTCTTCTTCTGACCTGCCACTGGGAATGGATTCATTTTTAACAGTCTTATCACGAAGCTTCACTTCTGCATCTAATTCATCTGACGATCCTTTTAACTTCACTGTCGGATGAGGAAGATTGTTAGAGCTCTCAGAGTGATGACTGCTTCCATTTCCAGGGCACTTATTTTGCTTCTCCGCTTTTTGTAGAGCACCCATGGGGAAATGCTCCGACAGTGGCAGATCACAAGCTTCAAACGTCTCCATGTCCTCCGGAGGTATCTCTGCTTCACCAAAGTCAGGAGGATACGAGTCTAAGCTATCGTCGCTCCCACGGCGAGAAATAATGCTGTTAGAAGGTTCACCATCCTCCAGGAGGTTTTGATAGGAAATGGAACTGATTTCACTCGGGTGTCTGGAGTTGTCTTCACCCAGGTGCACTTCCATGCTTAAATTATCCACACTTTCATCCAGAAAGATGCCTGCAATTGGCTCTGGAGGAACCATAGGAGGTCGATGGGGATCATTGCTGTTTCCACAAGCACCCATCTCATTTTCCTCATCAGACTCAACAACACTGTCAGCTTTCTTCTCTTTCATCGACATTATGAAAGGGGATTGTCATTCCTTTGCTTGAGCAGACAATTATTAAAACCTGTGGGCAGAAAAAAAAGAAGGAAAATTACCACCTGCGAGAGCGAGGACATGAATTTTTTTTGTAACTATTTATACGGACATCAATATACATCTATCTATTCAAGGCTTGAGGCTTTCAGCACAGTAAAGCCCCTTACAGTGACCAACTTCATGGAGCAAACATATTACTTTAGCATCTACTTTTGCCAAACGATCCTGCTCAGGTTTCAAGTTTAACCCACCTTTAAATTTTATAACCATCTCTATCACAACCACAATCACTTCTATTCAATCTCCAGCTCTCTGGGATGAAAGAGTTAAAGTAGAAGAAACAAAGCCCGCCTGTGGTGACCATGGAAGGTTCAATGAGTTTGCTATTCTTACTTTCTCTGAAGACGGTGTATTTATTCGACATGTTTATGAGATTCCCTCAATGCCGACAAGAGCCATTTGTGCCACTGCCGTTGGCACTCTCCAATCTACAGCCCAAAAAGCATGGAAGCACAACAACAGAAGGATGGTGTGATTCAAGAGGACAAGGGAGAAAAACTGCAAACCAATTTACATCTGTACAAGGCAACTACCTGTACAATGAAGGCCTTTGCAATACATCACAGTTTTTACTGAAAAAAGTCACAAGGAAATACTCACATGGGTGGTCGATAGAAACAAAGAGGGAAAAAGTAGAGATTACAAATTAAGAGAAAAGAGGTACCAAGCTCAAAACCTGACAGCAACGGAAAAAAGTTCTTCTCTTAGATTTTCTCCTTTCTCCTTTTTTCCCGTTCTCTAGTCCTGTTCCTGCTTTCATCTCCACTTTCTCCCCTCTCCCCTCCCTTACCTCCGGCCTCCTCTTGACCCCTCTCCCTCTAACTCTTGACTCTTTCTCCTGTTCTCCTAGTTTTTTCTTACTGATGTCTTTCAGCCACACCCCTGATCTTAGAGTAGTTAAGATGTAACGCCTGGCCTTCTTCGATAAGGGCAAAAAAAACACAGAGGTCCCTTGTGCAAGTTGCGTTCTTTAAAGATCCCTTGGTGATTCTAAAATCGATAAGAGTAGTAGTAGGCAAGATTAAAAATTCCTACCAAAACTGAAAATACTATCTACTCAGTACATATAGTATATCTTTATATATATATATATATATATATATATATATTGAGAGAGAGAGAGAGAGAGAGAGAGAGAGAGAGAGAGAGAGAGAGAGAGAGAGAGAGAGAGAGAGAGAGAGAGAGAGAGAGAATAGAGAGAATAGAGAGAATAGAGAGAGAGAGAGAGAAAGAGAGAGAGAGAGAGAGAGAGAGAGAGAGAGAGAGAGAGAGAGAGAGAGAGAGAATAGAGAGAATAGAGAGAGAGAGAGAGAAAGAGAGAGAGAGAGAGAGAGAGAGAGAGAGAGAGAGAGAGAGAGAGAGAGAGAGAGAGAGAGAGAGAGAGAGAGAGAGAGAAAGAGAGAGAGAGAAATGTGGCTGCCTGATGGCAAGGGGCCCCACAAAGTAGGAAAAACAGGCACATACAGGAAATAAGTTGTGCCTCAGGTTGAAGAACCAGCAGTCAACTACCCCAGAGTTCTAACACGGGAACACAAAGTAGAAGCAGAAAAAGACTAATCACCATTAAAAGATTATAATACTAATATTCAAAAGCCAGACATGGTATCTGGTATACACATCAAACAGAGATAAAAGAAACTATTACAATGGGTATTCAACATGAAACAACAATGTTATAATTATAATGAAAGCACTAGCATGGTAAAATTCTCTATACTTCAGTTAGGAGAGAGGAGGACTCTCATGTCAACGCTTTTGGTTTCAGTCCACAAGAATAAGAGAAAAAGCTATAATAATTAGAGAGCAAGGCAATGTTAGCAGCAATAGCACCAACAAAGTAAAAAATAATACAGTAGTCTCTGCCAAAGATCCAGGTGCTCAGGAACAAGGAAAATACGGGATCTTAGCAGATGCACAAAAGGGAAGAATCCACAATAATAACTCACGTTCAGGCTAACAACCGGTAAAAAGGTCTCCACTTATTCTAAAATGAACTGACGTAACCCCTGAGTGGGTTCATGACTACTAACGGCGAATGAACTGACGTAACCCCTGAGTGGGTTCATGACTACTAACGGCGAATGAACTGACGTAACCCCTGAGTGGGTTCATGACTACTAACGGCGA